TTTCTTTACCTATTTCTGTACAGCCCAGCTTGCATGGTATACAGACACACCGAGAAGGCTGGTGATTAATATTTATAGAGAGAAGAAACAAATTTCTCAGTAACTCTTCCCAGTCTGACTGGTTAGTTAAAATCCCTGCAATAATGGAAATATGAGTTTTATCTTTTCAGAGATGAAAAGGAAAATTCTAGTTAACCTGGTGTTCAGTATAAATTGAGGTAGTTAGAAGAGGCCGATAATTGATGGTAAGTTTTGTGGTTTATGATTCAATACGTTCTCTTGATTTGTATGGTAATTAGGAGCAACTACAAACTTTTAGGAGGAGAAAATAAAGCAAGTCAGGGTAAAATTAATGAAATGTTGGATGAATTAAAAGAGGAGAAAGATTAGAGGAGGAGAGGTTAGCGAAGAGGCTATTGTATATGTGCTGAATTATTACTGTGAATATGGAAATAAAATATATCCCAAACAATACTTAGGATGAGAAAGTGCGGTGAATTAATTCTCCAGGCTTCTATTGGAAAATAAGTTCCTCCAGGGAGATAATTTTCTTAACATTTGTCCTTGAGCCTTGAGAGTTTAGCCCAGAGTTGGCAAGTTGTAATTAAAAAAAAAAAAAGTAAATGTCTAGGGAATTAATGAGTTTCCTTAAATGTCTGGATTCTAAGCCCACCACATAGAAGGGATGAGAGAACATCATAAAGATGGTCACACAGGATGCTGTAATCCAGTAACAGTGATTTTGAGATCAGCTATGGGGCTCCCAGGGTTGTTGGATTCATTCTTAGAACATATGGTTCTCATACTCCTCTCACCTGGGCCCTTGAATGTTTCTGCATAGCTGAGGCTATGGATCAAGAGCTCTTTCTGGCACTACAGATGGTCAAGAAATATGGCACCCAGGTAGGGCCTTTTTGATGTGCTCCTGGGGATAGACAAGGGAAGCTCAAAATTAATTTAATGCTCTTTCACACCTGGATCCAAAGTTTGTCTCATGCTAGAGGTTCTGCAAATTAGAGTGGCTGGGCTTCCTTCCGAGTCTCTTCTGGGTGCCTAATTAGTGTCCATTGTCCACTTTTATTTTCTGAAATCAAAGGACAGATTTTTTTTTTTTTTAAATGCTAACATATGGACTTCTATATTTGGAGAATGGATATAAAAATGCCTACTAAAGAATAAGGACTTTATAGTGGTTTTAATATTATTTCAGTAACAAACAGTAGATGATATTTAAAGACAGGGAGTGTCTCTTAGACACCACACTGTGCATTCTGTCTTAGTCTCCCCTTTGTATCCAGGTGCAACTGCAAATTGAGTACCTGGAACAATGCCTGGCATAAATTTGATGCTCAATAAAAGCTGGTTGAAGGATTGACTAAATGCTGCTTTTTCCTTCCTTCGCAGCTGGCTAACCTGGTAACCTTGGAAGACAGCTGGATAATCCTGGGCCACATGGGAGTCCAGATTCCTATTAAAAGTTACTGAAGACTGAGCATGGTATGGACAGATCATATTTTTCTAGAGAGCTCTTTCCTTCAACTCCTGAAAATTATACTGTGTTGGATTTTATGTTATGGCATGAAATCTACTCATCAAATGAGTCAGGTTTTTTTTTTTTTTAAAAATCAAAAATGAAGGAAAGATATTTACAGAGAAAGAATGGAAGAGCTCTGTTAATAAAATACTGCTCCACAGAAAATGCACTCCTTTGTATGAGATAGGATTTTCAGGAAATAATTTCATTAAGCAATGGAACTTGTCAAAAACTTTAAGGAAATGATTCTTTCTTGGAAGAGTAAATAGGAAACAAAGAGGCCTAATAAGGAACATTTGTACAAGTCTGTTGAATTAGAATACTTAGTTGTCATCTTAAATCAATTTCTATATTATGATGTATAGTGTTCTAGCAAACTCTTGAGTCATCCATATGTGTTCCCCAAACCTTAAGTGCTGACCAGTGTATATCTTACGATGCTTTGCACTGTAAGATTAATCACAATTTATGGGATGTGTCCAAAAATGCAGACGTTTGATTTTTCTCCATTATTTGTATTGTAATTTAACAGCGGTTTGTGTACGAGACTTTTGATTCCTTTCACACAGGGAAAATTCTTTGTGTTTCAATGTAAATTCTACCAAAGCCTCTTCAAGTTTGTCCTCCTCATCTTACACATCCTAATAGTGAGGGACAAGAACCCCAAGGTCAGCAAACAGCAGTGAGAAGAATGAAGGAATGTGTCTGAAAGGAGACCCTGTTAAGACATAACTGTCGCCAGAGAATCTGTCATTCCAACCAAACAACCTGGGGCAATTTGGTCCTGAATTTCCAGTGCCGTTGCCATGGTTTTTAGACAAAGAAGACAGGCTGCATTCCAATTATATCCTTTAGAGTGACAGATAACTGAAAAATAGAAAATGGGGTAATAAAATCTCAGGTCACCCAGGAGAGGTGTGCTAGATACGGTGAGAAGTGAAATGTAAGTTTATGTTTGCCTCAAAAGCACCTCTGTGATTTAGAATGCAAATGCCTCTTCTCCATACTCTCTAGACTCTCAATAGCAATTTTATCCATTATCCAGTTCACTATTCAAAGCCAGGTATCCCTTGCTTACTAGAAATTTTCCTATCATTTTAAATATAAGAAATTAATGAATTAAAAGAACTTAAGGAAAAGATATTTCTTGAACTGTTAAAAAGTAAAAAAGCATCCCTAGAATTCTGATGATATTGCAAATACACCAATGCCACATTTATTTTAAATTCTGGGATCAAATGCAGTACTGTGGTTTTCCAGTTGAAGGTAATATTGCAAATTTTGCATCCAACTGATATTTGGGCAATGTCTGAAAATCAATAGTATTTTGCCAGGGTCAGTAGAAGGGTTGCTGCTGTGCTCTTAGATTATAATGAAGATACAAGCTGCTGTTCAATGAGAATGATTAGGCAGTGATCAAGAGGTTAGCAGTGAACTTGAGAATGGTGTTGGTAGATAGGATGTGGGTGTCAGACAATTTCATGCTTTTGTAGTTTCTGAAATTAAGCAGAAACAGAGCATTGTAATCTCTAAGTGACACTAGGTAATTTGTTTCATCTTTACAATCTAAAAAATTTAATCTAAAAAATGTTTAACACTTTAAGTCTCAGTTTTTCATCTTCAAAATGGAACAATATCACCCCTAACTTTTATAGCTTAATTTAAAATTTGATAATGCACATGAAGCTCAGCATCTGGCTTAGACCATTAAGTAGATGTAGTAAATGTTATTTCTAGAAATATTACTGCTGTATTTCCTTCTGTTGTATGCACTGTAATAAGGTGTAGAACCATTGCTGTGACAGAGGAACCCAAAGACATTGGTAAGTTCAAAGGTTTAAAACAACGAGTCTATAAAAATGCATAAGAAGTACCTATCTTTATATGCAAAATTAGATGTGTTTGGGTGAAAAATGCACTAATAAGTGGTATTTCAAGGATTATAGTCAGCATTGTCTAAGGGAAAACTCCAGATGATATGAAATCTGCCAGTCATGCCTCTTGAGTTTCCTTTTGAGCGTATTTTATTTTGAGGGTAAGGACAACATAATTTTTCTGTTCATATAGTAGATATAGTTGCTACAGTTTAATAAAAATTACTTTTAAGCTGGATGTGGTGGCACATGCCTGTAATCCCAAAGATTCAGGAGGCTGAGGCAAGAAGATCAAAAGATTGAGGTCAGCCTCAATTGCTTAGTGAGAGCCTGTTTCAAAATAAAAGAAGTACTAGAGAGGTAACTCAGTGGGAAACTGCTCCTAGGTTCAATTCCTAGTGTATACCTCATCAATCAATAAATAAGTAAATAATTAAAAATAACTTCTGTCATTTGCTTCGCATATATAAATTCAAATATTTCAAGCAGATTTTTATTTTTGGTACTGGGGATTGAACCCAGGGACATTTTACACTGAGCCACATCCCAAACCCTTTAAAAGTTTTTAAATTTGAGACAGGAACTTGCTAAATTGCTGAGGCTTGAACTTGCCATCCTCCTGCCTCAACTCCCAAGTAGCTGGGATTACAGGCTGTGACGCAGCACCCAGCTCTAGCTGGTTTTTGCATTTATTATATTCAGGATGCATTTTCTTTCTTCAGAAAGAACTGGTGTGATTTTATAGTGGAAGTAATAGTCTAAAACAGATTTACTTAGGGCTGTCTGTACGATGTTACAAGAATCAATCTATACTTACATGTAAATAATGACTATGATAAAGAAAAAAATGAGTTCTTAGATTGCTTTTAAAAAAATCTTTTAACAGTTTAGAATATTTTTAACATAGTTTATGGTGCTTTGCTTAGCTGTTTTTCATATCCACAAACCCTGAAATTTGAGATCCTATCTAACTGCACATACATGTACATATATATGCAGTGTTTACATATATTTATTTGATAAAGTGTATAATCTTACTGAGCATTGACTGTTAAAGTAAGTAGACTTTGAAAATTCCATATAAAAATAAATAAAAATCTTACTTATTTGGGACTTTTATAAAGAAGAGCTTCAATTTGTCATTTATATTTTTAAGTTTCTTTTTCGGTTAATGGAATTTTGGAATAACTAACTGGTTATGATAAAAATCTGAACTATTATTTCTTGGTCCAACTACAAAGGGGAAAAGCTCCAATAACTTGACTTCTTTCTCCTCAATGCATTTAATTTTTCTATTTTGTGTTCTAAGGGCCTCAGAGCCAGTGGAGTTGTAGGTCTGTTGGGACACAGTTTCCCATCTGCAAATAGGAGTTTGAATTTTTTTGTGTGTATGGCGAGGCCTCAACACACTGAAATGTCAGAATGAAGTAGCCTCTCTCATTGGAAAGCTAGCTTGAAAAGGTGACAATGTGTAGTGTCACCTGTCATTAATGTCATCAAGTCATCCTACAATATAAGTCATAGAGTAATGATGTCATAGCAGAATTGTCAAAACTATGTAAACATGTTTGAAGAGGGTGGTGGCAGCTTACCTTAAAAGAGATTTCATATTGTTCTCCTCCCCAGATTTCTAAACCAGGATCATAGCCACCCAGTTCCCAAAACCATTTTCGATCCACAGCAAAGAGACCTCCAGCCATGACAGGAGACCTGTGAAATGAAAAAAATAATCTTTAAAGGACTATGAACATCAGAGATAATGACATTTTATTTGAGGGGAAAAATACCAAACTTTGAGCTATGGTTTAGTGGTCAAATGAACCATACCATTTTCTATAAGTGGATATATGATTCTTTGGGGGCCACTTTTCTGTAGTGAGAATTGAGGAAGAACCATTTTGAATATTAAACTTTGCATTTCAGGTTCTAATGAAACAAAGGCCCTGCAGAACTACATTTTCTCCATCTGTTAGTCTTTAGAAATATGTATGTGACTCACATTTTGCACTCAATGTTAGAGCTTTTTCTTTGAAAGAGGTCTCATGCTATCAGAGAATGGTGTTGACAATGTTGTTGACTTAATCCTTTAGGATGCATGCACTGAGCATCTACTACATATAGATCCTGTCTATAGACTGTAAAATGGTCAATCAAAATACAATAACCAACCAGAATTATTTAATTAACAATATGAAGCTGAAATTTAAACGAGATCTTTTTTCACTTTATACAATTTTTTTTAGGCCTTCTTGCCTTTCTAAGAAATATCATTTTGACTACATGATAATTTTCAGGAATTCTACAATGTTAGGATGCATAATCATGTTGCTATTAATAAGATCATTATAATCACTGGGTGTGCCCTGCCCTACTTCTTTCTTGGAGTTCAAAATTCTTGTTTTGTTTTCTTGAGTGCTACCTATGTGCTGGGTTGTAGGCTAAGGTCTTTACTTCATTACCTTGATGAAAACCTGATAACAACACTGTGAATACCACCTCTATGGTTTGAAAAACAGGCCCAAGGCTGGAATTAGTGTGTGGTTGAGCCAGGCTGGACCTGGTCCTCTGATTTTAAAATCTTTGTGCTCTTCACCATGGCACTGTAGGGGTCAAGAGAGACAACTCTATCCACATGGATATAGAATAATGTGAGAACACCATTAAATAGGCCAAGCAAACATAAAAACAAACATTTTTTGCACAGTCAATGTGACAGTTTTGAAAAATGTTTGAAACAGAATATTTATAAATGGCAATGTAAAGCATACAATTTTGATACATATTTTAAAATGTCTATAAATGTGATAAGCACACCAATTTGCATTCTACCTGAGGCCTTACGCTTGGTAATGTTCTTTGAGGCACTTGTGCAACATAAATCTGAATTTAAGGAACTTTGCATGTTAAGATGGTACTTGATCTAATCCCTTCAGTTTAAAAATATTTTTGTAGGTATAAATTAGATGTAGACTGAAAAATTAAAAGTCTGGAAGGGAGACTTATTATTATTTTTTTTTTTACTCTAGAAAAGTGAGAAGAATGCAGAACATGCCATTTTTAATTTGTTTGAATTAATAATTTAGAATCAGATATACCTTACGTTATCCCTCTCCGAGCAGCCTAATCGTTTCCATTTTACCGCGCACTGCATTTCAGAGTGGATTTACAACTGTAGCTGGAAAAAATTAGGACTGTAATGCTTATTGGGTGCAGCTCCCCGATGAATACATTTCAGTCATTGCAATCTTTGTTTCTGCAGGGATGGGGTATGAGAAGCAGACACTCTCCAGTCCTATTCACTCTGAACCACTCTCAGTCATACAAATATATTCTCATTTAATTGTGTCAAACACGAGGCCAAAGTGCATCAAAATTTACACTGCCCACAAAGGATCTGAAAACTAGAAGCATGGTAGTGAGGGAGGGATTAGGAAAGAGAGAGTTCAGAATTGATTTTTTTTTTATTGTGAACAATTTGTTGAAAATACAATAATCTTGTTTTCTTAACGAACTTATTTAAAAAGCCCATGTATTGTATTTTAGGTTAATGTAGACCCGTAATGAGATAAATTCAAATGGATCCTGTTTACCTTGTGAATGTTTCTATCAAGCTCCCAATAAATTAAATTAATTTGTATAACTTATTAATTTATTTACTTTAATAAATTAGCATGCCTTAGAAATACTTTTTACACATGTATAATTTTTTTAAAAATTTTTTATTTGTTTTAATTAGTTATATATATAGTAGAGTGCATTTTGACACGTCATGCATAAATGGAGTATAACTTCTCATTCATCTGGTTGTACATGATGTAGAGTCACATAGGTCATGTAATCATATATGCACATAGGATAACTATGTCAGATTCATTCTACTATCTCTCCTGTCCTCATGCCCCCTCCACTCCCTTCACTCCCCTCTGTTTCATCTAAAATACCTCTGTTCTTTCCTCCCACCTTATTGTGAATTAGCATCCACATATCAGAGAAAACATTTGGCCTTTGGTTCTTTGGGATTGTTTTTTTTTTTTTTTTTGCTTAGCATAAAGCCAATCCATTTACTGGCAAATGCCATAATTTCATTCTTCTTTAAGACAAAGTAATATTCCATTGTGTAAATATACCACAGTTTCTCTATCCATTCATTTGTCAAAGGGCACGTAGGTTGGTTCTATAGTTCATCTATTGTGACTTGAGCTATTACAAATATTGATGTGGCTGCTTCACTGTAGTTTGCTGACTTTAAGTCCTTTAGGTATAAACCTAGAATTGGGATAGCTGGGTCAAATAGTGGTTACATTCCAAATTTTCTTAAGAATCTCCATACTGTTTTCCATAGTGGTTGCACCAATTTGCAGTCCTACCAGCAATGTATGATTTACTTATAAATTTTAAGAATGGCTTAATTGAATCGTGACAACATACAAAGGATTGCTTATATTTTAAGTGTACCATTTGGTAAGTTTTGACTTATGTGTACTTTTGTAACCCCATCACCACTTTTGAGAAATGAACTCATCTACAATCTCCAAGAGTTTTTGCATTTATGCCCTCTCTTCATTCTCCTCGCTGGGGAAGCTATTGATCTACTTTCTTCTACAACTGATTGGTTTGCTTTTACTAGAGTTTTATATAAATGAGATCATGCAGGATGCATTTTCTGGGTGGGGAGAGGACTGGCTTCTTTCTTTTAATATGATAATATTGAGATTTCTATGTTGTAGCATGTGTTAATAGTTCATTTTTTAAAAAAATTGTTGAGTGGTATTCTATTTGCATGAATACGCCACAGTTTGATGATTCATGAGTCTATTGATGAACTTGTAGGTTGATTCCAGTTCAGAGCTCTTATGAATAAAGCTGCTATGACCTATGTGTACTCACTGTGTGGACATGTGCTTTCATTTCTCCTGGGGAGAATACCCGGGAGTGGAATGATTAGGTCATATGGTTGGTATAGGCACATGCTTAACCTTTTAAGAAACTGCAAATCGTTTTCCAAAGTGACTGTACCTCCTCATCTTCCTCCAGCAATGTTTGTGTTCTGGTCACCATGTGTCCTCACTGATAATTAGGACGGTCAATGTTTTGAAGTCTAGTCATTACAACAGTATATGGTGGTGTGGTTTTATTTTGCATTTCCATGATGGTTAATGGTGTTAGTGTGTTTGTGCATTTCTTTCTTTTTTTCCTGACTCATCTAGCCACAGTTTTATCAATTTTATTGATCTGCTTAAAGGACTGTTCCACTTCATTAATTTCTCTTTTGTTTGTCTTTTATCATTATTAATTTCTTTTTAGTATACAATTATCTTAATTCTTCTGTTTATTTTGAATTTAATTTGTCTTCATTTTAGAGTTATTTAGGGTAGAAACTGAGATAACAGATTTCAGTCTTTTATTTTTTTCTGAGATAGGTATTTAGTACTGTAAATCTCCATTAACTACTATTTATCAGAACCCCACAATTGATAGGTAATATTGCCATGTTTATTATGTTCAAAATACTTTTTAAAAAAATGTTTAATTTTCGTTTTTTTGACTTGCATGTTACATAGATGTGTTTAATTTAGTTTCCAAATATTTAGGAATTTTTGGATCTTTCTATTACTGATTTCTAATTTAATATCATTGTGGTCCAAGTGTGTACTTTGTATGAGACCTTTTTTTCTCCTTATTGGGACTTTTTGATGGCTCAGAATGTGGTCTATTCTGGTAAATGCTCCAGGTGTATTTGAAAAGTTTTGAATTCTGTTGGTGTTGGGCAGTGTGTTCTATAAATATTTATTAAGTCCAGTTGTTTGATACTATCTTTTGAATCATGTATATTTTTATTGATTTTCTTTCTCCTTTTCTCTATCAGTTATTGAGAGAGGAGTGTTGAAATCTCTGACTATAATTCTGAGTTTGCTTATTTTTTTATTGCTGTCTGTGTTTTTTTGCTTCATGTCTTTTGTAGCTCTGCGAACAGTGCAAAGATGTTTAGGGGTTTTTCTATTCTTAACCTCATCATAACTGTTAGGTGACTTACATCCTCCCTGGTAATTGTCTATATGCTATCATCTATTTTGTGTTATTGACATAGACCCTCCATCTTCTTTAGATTTGTATCATCTAAATACTAGTATTTATAACTTTGTCTTTATTTTTACTTTTTAATTATTTGTGTCTTTATACTTAAGTGGCTTTCTTATAGCATATACATATATATATACACACACACACACACACATATCTTGCTTTTAATTGGGTTATTTAGATCCTTTTCTTTGATTATTCATGTAGTTAGATTTAATTCAATTATCTTCCACTTTTTTTTTTTGTTTTCCAACTGTGGTTTCTGTCTTCTTTTCTGATTATTTGAGGAATCTTAGGATAGTAGCTTTCATTTCTCCTCCTCCAGCCTTTCTGCTTAGCTATCACACATCTCACTTTCACATATTTGTAACCCCACATTATCTAGTGAATATTTTGAAGCAATTATCTTTTAAAAGTTTTAAAAATAATTAACAGAATGACCTGTTTTCAATGTGCACTTTTATGTTCTGTGAATTATCTGTAATATATATCCAGAATAAAATGGAATAAATTTGAAAAGTTTTAAACAATAAAATTGTATTATGCAAAATATTGTGTATATATGAAATCATAATATGAACATCATTTCAGAATTGTGTTGAATTTTATAACTTTGGAGAAAATGTAAC